CTCTTTACGCCCAGGTCTAGAACCTGCTTTCTATGGCAGCAGCGGTCAGATGGGATGGATCTGGTGAGGAAAGACTCTGGCCTCAGGGACTGGGACCCTGCTCAGACTCTGGGCTCAGTCATAAAGTTCAGTGGGTGACCTTGAGCCAGCTGCAGCCCCTCAGTCTATCTCACCTGGCAGGGTTGTTGTGATGATAAACTGCAGGGGTGGTAGAACAACCCATGCCTGGACTGGGGATCCTTTTCAAGATGGAAGGATGCACTCCACACTGGGCAACTTTTTATTCAAGGGAGGGCACATGTGGGTGGTGGGTGAGGCCACAGGCAAAAGTGGATGGAGCAACCAATGTAAATTTTATTTAGCAGACCAAGAAAAGGCAGGATGTATGAAATAAATCAAAGCTGCTTTGAGCAGCCACAAAGCAATTTTCCTCTGCAACTGAATATAACTGCGACCAGTGACCATGGGCTCACTGAGGTCCTTTGTCAAGTACCCTTTTCTGGGCATCCCTACCTTCAAAAGTTAGGCAGATGGCTGCAGGGGAAAGGGCCATCTCTGCAGTGATGCCCTGATTATAGAAGTGCCCTCTCAGACTTTTATGCCTGGTTCAGCCTTTGTTACCTTTCAGACACCAGGCCGTCCTTTCCCACCAAGCTTATTACAACAGCTAGGGCTGTTTTACAGTTTGTTATCTTTTTATATGCTTTTAAGGGGTGCTTTCTGGCTAGTTCTCCTGGAGCTTGTTGTATATTGTTTTGGATTCTAGTTGTGAGCTGCCTTGAAGATTAGAAATACTGGGAAGGAGGAATATATATGCTTGTGTGTATCCATGAAGGAGAGATTTTCAGGCATATATAAACCCCAGCACCTCATGCTGCAACTTGCAGTATGTGTGTGTTGCTGGAGGAATAGAGGGAGTTTTGATAATCCCCCCCATGTCACCTCAGCCCTCCTAGTTGTTACCATAGTTGCTCTCATGATTCTAGAGCCTATGCAAATCCCTTTAGCTTGACTTGTATTACAGTGGTACCTCGGGTTAAGCACTTAATTCGTTCCAGAGCTCTGTTCTTAACCTGAAACTATACTTAACCTGAAGCACCACTTTAGCTAATGAGGCCTCCTGCTGCTGCTGCACCGCCGGAGCACGATTTCTGTTCTCATCCTGAAGCAAAGTTCTTAACCTGAGGTACTATTTCTGGGTTAGTGGAGTCTGTAACCTGAAGCGTATGTAACCCGAGGTACCACTGCGCTCTGCTGCCCAGGAGGACTCTCCTGTGTGAGTGTCTGAGGGCCCTGCTCTTGCCGCTTACCACCTACCTGGCCCAGGGCAGGGCCTAAAGCCTCACAGGGACTGCTGCGCTCTGCTGCCCAGGAGGACTCTCCTGTGTGAGTGTCTGGGGCCCTGCTCCTTCCTGCCACTTACCACCTGGCCCAGGGCAGGGCATGACGGGCCTCACTAGGACAGTTGCTGTTACTGCTGGAGGGGTGCAGAGTGCTTTTAAAATGTTTCAAACATTTTCTTTTGAATTTTTTGTATGTGGGGGGTGGGTGGGATGGATGTTTATTGGGCCTGGGGATTTGTTTGATTTTATGTTTTTGTAATTTTTACTGTTTTTTGTTTGTATTGTTTTATTGGGGTTTTTTTTAAGGTGTTATTTTGTTCTTAAGGGGAGGGGTCAGGGCTGCCGGGGAGTAGGCCCCAGCCAACAAAATGGCTGGGGCATGTTCCACAGGGGGGATGCACTGGGACAACTGATCTCAGTGATCACGGGTAGGAGGAGGAGTTACGCTAAGACCAGACCATGTCATTACAGAGGAGGCAGGTTTAGTCGTTGTCTGAGGACTATCCCTGCCTCCGGGTCTGGTCCCGACCGGATGGATACTAGAATCAGCAAGGGATACCCACATGACCTGAAGGTGCTGCTGTGCAATGCCAGGTCAATGATTCATAAGACCACTGCCATCCATGACTTGATCATAGATGGAGGACTTGACCTGGCATGTGTGACAGAGACTTGGCTGGATGAAGCAGATGGGCCTGTCCTTGCCGCTGCTTGTCCACCAGGTTTCTCTTATGCACAGCAAACCCAGGTCATGTGGGTGGGGAGGGGGGTTGCAGTGATTTTTAGGAAGTCATTAGTTTGCACCAGGTGTCCTATTGGGAAGACCCAGTTTTCTGAGTGCATATTCTGGAAGTTGGGCAATAGGGGCAGTACAGGATTCCTTTTGGTGTACCGACCTCCCCGCTGCACCAAGGATTCCCTGCCTGAGCTGCTTCAGGTTGTGGCGGATGTTCTCCTGGAGACACCTAGCTTGGTTGTCCTAGGGGATTTTAACATCCATGCCGACATGACTTTACAAGGGGCTGCTTGGGACTTTGTGGAAAGCATGGCCTCCATGGGGCTGTCCCTGAATAAGTCTGGCCCAACCCATAGCCGCGGACATGCCTGGTGTTTACCTCTATGGATGTTGGTGATCTGATACTAAGTAAAAGTGAAACGAAAGAAGTGCCATGGCCAGATCACTTCCTGGTGCAACTGGACTTCTCTGCGACCCATCCCCTCTGCAGGGAGGTGGGACCGATTCGGATGTTCTGCCCCCGCCACTTAATGGATCCAAATGGTTTCCAGAGAGTGGTAGGGGATGCTTTATCCCATGTTGATGGCCTTTCAGCCAATTCCCTGGTGGCCCGCTGGAATGTGGAGTTAACCAGGGCTATTGACTGTTTGGCTCCGAAGCGCCCTCTCCGATTGCATGGAGCCCGGACAGCCCTGTGGTTTTCCACGGATCTGAGGGCAATGAAACAATTGTTGAGACGGCTAGAGCGCCAGTGGTGGATAACCCATTCCGAATCTGACCGGACACAGGTAAGAGCTCAACGTCGAGCCTACCAAGTGGCGATAGCGACGGCGAAGAAGACCTTCTGCGCCGCCTCTATTGCATCTGCAGAAAACAGCAGCAGGAGACTTTTTCAGGTGGTTCACAATTTAGCGGAACCACCTGCGACATCGGGGCCCAGTACGGGCCACATGATCTCCTGCAATGATTTTGCAAAGTTTTTTGCAGATAAAATCGCTCAGATTCGGGAAGAAGTAGACTCCACCGTGGGAGCAGGGCCAGGGCGGGAGAGTGCTAGAGTCCTGTCTAGTCAAGTTGTGTGGGATCAATTCCAATCTGTTACCTCCGAGGATGTGGACAGGCTGCTTGGACGAGTGAATCCAACCACCTGTCTCCTGGATCCTTGCCCATCCTGGCTTATAAAAGCTAGCCGGGAAGGACTGGGCGATGGGCTTCGTGGGGTGGTGAATGCTTCCCTCTGTGAGGGAGCCTTCCCAGACCCGCTGAAAGAGGCGGTTATTAAACCGCTTCTTAAAAAACCATCTTTAGATGCGGCCACGATGGCCAATTATCGCCCAGTCTCAAATCATCCATTCTTGGGAAGGTGATTGAGCGAGTGGTTGCTGAACAACTCCAGGCACGCCTGGAAGAAGCGGACCATTTGGATCCCTTCCAGTCAGGATTCAGGTCTCATCATGGGACTGAAACTGCCTTGGTCGCACTGGTTGATGATCTCCGGCAGGCTAGGGACAAAGGTGAGAGCTGTTTCCTAGTTCTACTGGATCTCTCAGCGGCGTTTGATACCATCGACCATAACATCCTTCTGGACCGTCTTGAGGGGCTGGGAGCTGGGGGCACTGTCATACAGTGGTTCCGCTCCTTCCTCCTGGGCCATGTTCAGAAAGTGGTGGTGGGGGATGAGTGTTCAGATCCCTGGGCTCTCACTTGTGGGGTGCCTCAAGGTTCTGTCCTCTCCCCCATGCTTTTCAACATTTACATGCAGCCACTGGGAGAGATCATCAGGAGGTTTGGGCTGGGTGTTCATCAGTATGCGGATGATACCCAGCTCTACCTCTCTTTTAAATCAGAACCAGTGAAGGCGGTGAAGGTCCTGTGTGAGTGTCTGGAGGCGGTTGGAGGATGGATGGTGGCTAACAGATTGAGGTTGAATCCTGACAAGACAGAAGTACTGTTTTGGGAGGACAGGAGGCGGGCAGGTGTGGAGGATTCCCTGGTCCTGAATGGGGTAACTGTGCCCCTGAAGGACCAGGTGCACAGCCTGGGAGTCATTTTGGACTCACAGCTATCCATGGAGGCACAGGTCAAATCTGTATCCAGGGCAGCTGTTTACCAGCTCCATCCATCTGGTACGTAGGCTGAGACCCTATCTGCCTGCAGACTGTCTCGCCAGAGTGGTGCATGCTCTGGTTATCTCCCGCTTGGACTACTGCAATGCGCTCTACGTGGGGCTACCTTTGAAGGTGACCCGGAAGCTACAACTAATCCAGAATGCGGCAGCCGAGACCATATAACACCAGTCTTGAAAGACCTACATTGGCTCCCAGTACGTTTCCGAGCACAATTCAAAGTGTTGGTGCTGACCTTTAAAGCCCTAAACGGCCTCGGTCCAGTATATCTGAAGGAGCGTCTCCTCCCCCATCGTTCTGCCCGGACACTGAGGTCCAGCTCCGAGGGCCTTCTGGCGGTTCCCTCACTGCGAGAGGCCAAGTTACAGGGAACAAGGCAGAGGGCCTTCTCGGTAGTGGCGCCCGCCCTGTGGAACGCCCTCCCATCAGATGTCAAAGCGATAAACATCTACCTGACATTCAGAAGACATCTGAAGGCAGCCCTGTTCAGGGAAGTTTTTAATATGTGACATTTTAGTGTATCTTTCATCTTTGTTGGAAGCCGCCCAGAGTGGCTGGGGAAACCCAGCCAGATGGGCGGGGTACAAATAATAAATTATTATTTATTATTATTATTATTACCACTGTACTTGATCCTAAAGCTAAGAGATAACCTAGCAAATTGATAGTAGAAAGCTTGTTTTTGCTTTATATACACACACACATTGCACACACATCAGAGGTCCGGCCTTACATATTTTACACTTTTTGTATTGGCGAACAACACTCCACCCCCAAAATGGACACAAACTGAACATCACAAAAGGTAGATTTATTATCCCTACAGACTTAAGTTTTCTTTTGTACATGACAATCAGAATGAGTTAGTATAAGCCGCTTTTAGCCCTAATTCTATTTCTGTGGTGACGGAGTATTTATTATCTGTTCAGATACTGTGGTATTTTCCCATGCTGTTCCATTGTGATATACCGGTATGTATCTCTGTTTCCCTTTGCTTTGACTTACATCTGTATGGTGCCCCTTGTTAACACAGCAGCATAGGAGCTGCTTGTTTGTGGTATCGCCCCACATTTTTGCCTTAATATTTAAAGGCCCAGTGTCTTCTGCAAAAGGCCAGCTGCATAGGTTCTTCCCACCCTATTGTCACTTGGCTAAGAACAGAGGGAGAAATGGACCCCCATACTGCTGGGCCTGTAAAAGTTACAGTAGCAGCATGGACTTAACCCCCCAAAACTGCTCCCATGATGCAGCTGTAACATGCCTAGCTCTACAATTCTATGATCAGGGGTGCCAGCTTGAATAAAATATGGGGGGGGGAGAGGTAATCTCCGCCCTGCACAATCGATCGCAAGATGCGGCACAGTATTTGAATGGCAATGCCCATCACCTTGGGGGGCAGCCCCCTCAAATATTTTATTGTGGTTGAAGGAACCTCAGTCCCTAGGAGTTGACTCCTATATGTCTATGATTCTATATAAGGGGCACCTGTAGCCCACATTTTAAAAAATGGCTGTTTTCTCCTCTGTTTTACTGAGTGCAGACCAATGAGATGTATTTGAAAAGAGCCCTGCTGTCCCTATACATTTGACTAAGATCTCAAAGGATTGCATGTCCAGCCCTTGTGGCTGGAGAGAAACGTTTTGAGAATGGTCGGGTAGCTTTGTCCAATGCTGCCTTAAACGTATAGACTGGACAATGCATTCAGTGCACAAGAAGTGGAGCTTCAATGTCCTGAGCAGGTGACTGCCTCTCTCCATGGTGCTTATTCAGCTTCAACCCTTCTCCATCTTTCAGTGCCCATTGACTACTCTTATTCATGGCTGCATGTGACTGCTGCTCCAAAATCTGTAAAAATGCAATAGTTTATAATCAATTAATGATGTGCATTAGATATCATGAGACTAGCATTTGGGTTTCTTTGGTACCTTATCAAGCTCCTCATCCCCTTTTTTCTTTGCACAGAAGTTACACATCCTGTACTTGTGACGTTGTGTCAGCTATGGCATATCTCTAGCAAATATCTCGTTTGTCTCATGGATCAACAAAGCGCCAGCTCAAGGGCCTGCTGTCAGTTTGCCCCTAGTTTTGTTGCAATCTGAAAAATAAAGTCTCAACAGAGCCATATGGTGTGATTCTTCAGAATGTGTAGATTGGCTCATACTTAGCCAGACCCAGCAAAATTACAAAATTGATTTATGGAGGCATTTTTAACATGTACCAATAAATGGCAAATGGACTGTTTACTCTTCCTGATCTGTTGAACTCAGAACACATCATGATGTTTCCCATGGCAAGGAAAACGTATAATGCATCATCTCTATGGCTATAGCTGTGTGTTTGAACAACACTTTGGGGACATTGTCAAAACCAGATGATGCAGATTACCCACTCTAATCTGAATGTGGGATTACATAATGCTGAGCACACATTCCAAATGGGAAACAGCTCAGAGTTGACTTTGCACAGCTCTGCAACCCAACGTACATACTCCTGAATAAAGAGGAAAGTACAACTTGGAAGCTGTCAGTGATTCTGCGGAAATGGCCAAAGAGCAGAGATGGTGATGAGGTAGAAATGCAGGGGGTGGCAAAGCAGACAGGATGTGTGGTGGAGCTGGGGGACGCCCAGGTTGGCATGCAGTATTTGCACCAGAATGCTCTTCCTGGTTTCTGCTTCTTTCCTGTGCTTATGAGAACAGTGCCCATTTGCAGTCCTTCCATTTCCTTAGCCTTACAGTGGTACCTCGGGTTAAGTCCGTGGTCCGTTCTTAACCTGAAACTGTTCTTAACCTGAAGCACCACTTTAGCTAATGGGGCCTCCTGCTGCTGCCGCGCCGCTGGAGCATGATTTCTGTTCTCATCCTGAAGCAAAGTTCTTAACCTGAGGTACTATTTCTGGGTTAGCGGAGTCTGTAACCTGAAGCGTATGTAACCCGAAGTACCACTGTATGATGACCCTTCTGCATTTCCAATCAGCACTCACTGGTACTCAGGATTCCACTAAGTGCAAGATAGGTCTTATATACTGGTATGTCTGATATATGGTATGAGGTTAGGCCTCTGGATACCTGCTGCTAAGGAGCAAGATCAAGGCAGGGCTGTTGCTGTTTTGGGTTTCACAGAGGCATCAGGTTGGTCGCTGTGGGAAACAGGACACTGAATTAGATGGACCTTTGGTCTGATCCAGCAAAGCTCTCTCTATGTTATGAAGAGGTTGCATGTTTTTGTACCACACCCCGTTACACAAGGGATGCCTCATTCTAGAGCTATTGCCAGTATGATGCAGAGTAGAAGCAGCTCATGACTGGATCATAATGGATGACTATGAAGATAGGATAAATAGAAAGTGCAGCTCTGCCTGTGTGGTCTCATTCACAGGCACAGTCATTGCCTTCAAAGTTCATGGGTGGTGCACATGGATTCCTTAAACCCTGTGCTTTATAACTTCCTCTCTGGACATGTACCCAGGTCACTGAGTTGGGTTGAACCATTGCTGGAAATCCCCTGGCTGCCTCAGCTTCTCTAGTGAATCATCTTCTTCATTTTGATTCCTCCAGAACTTGCTGAGAATGGCAGAAGATGAGCCAGGCAGTAAGGAGCCTTTTTGTGCCCTCTTATCCAACAAGATAGGCAGAGATCCAAGTGGGGAAATCCCCTGTAAGATCTGTTAGCTCCACTATCTGGGACTCTGAACAGGCTGACAGCCTTCTGAATTTTAAGTGTTGTGGTGCTGAGGTTTCCCCTGAAATAAGCTGCTATTTTATATACCACCATCAGGTATCACACACTGTTAAGCCGCCTGCCACTAGACAAAAAATGGACAATAATGAAACACTGGGCACAGCAGATTAATGTTATTCTTTGCCTTCGTGGTATCAATCCATGCCTTCCTAGCCCATAGCCCTATCTTAGATACCCAAAATGCATTGCATTGCATGTTGCAGACTGAAGAAGTTGAATGTGTCTTTGATGGGTAGTAAATATGAAAGAGGAAAATGTTCAGGAGTTGATGCACAAGGAAGCATGTGGGCTACACCAAGTGCCTGAGCACAGGGAGCCTCACCAAACCCCCTCTCTGGCCTTTGAAATTTAGCAGAAACATGGCATATTTTCAAGTTCTTCTTCATGACCATGAAAGCAGCAAAATTGTTCCTTTTAGAAATGAACATTGAGATTACAGTACAGTATCTGGATGTTCCATGTGACTGCATCTGACATGAAACAGGTTTGTAAGTTTCTCCCAGGAGAACTGAAGCCCCTTGGATTCTAGGGTGAGGAGATTCCTGGGACTAGCCTCCCCCAAAAGTTGACAACAGACACATTCTTAAGTGTGATGAGTAAAACCCCTGCACTGAGAATCATCTGGTAAACCAAGGAGGAAAGCTGGCATAAACCCAGAGCTTGTTTACTGGCCTTTATCATTTTTCAAGGCCAGTCAGCTGTTTCCTCGCAAGAAAGATGTTTCCCCTGTTTCTCTGGATTGTGCTGTTCCCTACCCCAGAGCAAGCAACATTTCTAGAATTCATGAAGTTGTATCCAACTTAAGTAATACACAGGGTGGACCTATTGAGAACACTTATTATTTATGCATAAATTAAGTCAATTGATTTCAATTGGTCTGCTCTTGGGTATGACTTGGTAAAATACAACCTACTGTGATAGTGAGATGACCTGTTCTTAGACTATACCATGTCAGACTGTAGATAAGAATATTTATTTTTATTTTTAAAAACCCACTCTGTCTATAGAAAACAAGCATGGCTGAAGAAGAGATTTAGTGTAACCCTTTCCTTAAGGTTACTACATTCAGGGAATTAAAAGAAAATATGGGGAAGTATTCAAAGATATATATGACCCACCCCCCTCTTACTTGTAGTCTGAAGTACAGCCCAGAATTCTACAACCCCAGGTCTCCCATTCTATTCTGTGTAGAATAGTTCCCAGTGTGTAGAACAGCTTCCCAGTGACAAGTGAAGATCACCCTGCCCTGGCCTAAGGGGGAAAACAAGTCTCAAGTTATGTCAGAGTAATTCGCTAAAAGTCCACCTAAAAGTCAACTGGTGGTGATTTTTTTTGGGGGGGGGAGTCATGTGAAACAGCTGTCAGATTGAGAAAGTGGCAGCTAGGAAAATATATAGCAACAACAACACCTTTATTGTCATTGTACAACTTGTGTAAAATGAAATTAAACAAGCCTCCCCCCCAAAAAAACACTCAATCTCTTTTCGAACAACACACCACCTCGCAAGTCAATTTCGCTGTTATTTTCCGTTCAACAGCCTAACAGTCCACGGATAGAAGCTATTTTTTAGCCTATTGGTACGGCTGGTTAAATATACTTATATATCTCCTGCCTGAGGGTAGAAGATTAAAGAGGTGATAGCTGGGGTGTGAGTCATCCCTGAGAATTTTTTTTGCTCTCCTAAGGCAACGATGTCATTTTTGCTCTCCTAAGGCTTGCAATGTCATCTAGCGGACTCAAGGGACAGCCCATGATATCATGTGCTGTATTCACCACCCTCTGTAGAGACTTTCTGTCCGTGGCTGTCAGGCCAGCATACCACACTGTGTTACAATATGAAAGGACACTTTCTATTGTGGACCAGTAAAAGGAGTTAATCAACTGTTGTTTAACATTATTCTTTCGCAAGACCCTGAGGAAATGGAGTCTCTGTTGGGCCTTTCTGACCACCTGAGTTATGTTGATTTTCCAAGTGAGGTCCTCACTAAGGTAAACTCCCAGGGATTTAAAGGAGGAGACACTCTCCACACAGCCCCCCTCGATATACACTGGGGCAGGTTCCCCTCTCTTCCTCCAGAAGTCCAACACCATCTCCTTTGTCTTACTAATATTTAGGTGCAAGTTATTCTCTAAGCACCATGTAGATACTTTTTGAACCTCCCCCCTGTACACTGTTTCATCTCCGCCTGCAATTAGGCCCATTATGGTAGTATCATCTGCAAACTTAATAATTACTGTGAATGGATCAGATTATATGCAGTCATATGGGTACAATGAGTACAGGTAGGGACTTAGCACACATCCCTGTGGGGTGCCAGTGCTAAGCTTCAGGGAGGTAGATGTAACAGTCCCAATCCTCACCGTTTGTGTGGATGCCGGTTCTGTATATACCAGAAGTAATTTCATTGGCTAAGCACAATGCAGAGTTGGAGGGTCCTTTGGTGTAAGCCAGCATAGCAATTCCTATGTATTTAAGCTGAGGACAAACCACAGGCAATGAGTGCTTTTTGCCCTGTTAGTGAGTATTCCCAGGGCATCTGGTTTGCTATTGTTACAGACAGCAAATGTGCTTTTTAGTCTGACCTAGCACAGCAGATGTTTTTGTTGTAGTAGTTAGGTATTTTATAACTTTTGTAATCCATTCTTCACCTAAAGGGCCCAGAGCAGAGAATACATATTAAAACAATACAAAAATATATATAATTCAAAGTACAGTAAAGTCACCAAGTAGGAGCAGAAACAATATGCACTTAGGATGCTCCTCAGAGAATGAGGTTTACGCTTATTCCTGGGACTTTAGCTAGGATTTACATCAGTCATCCATATTCCTTGAAAATACATACTGTCAAACTTTGAATACAATAAAGTGTTTTTTAATTACTTATAAGAGCATTTGTATTGTAAAATAGTAAAGGTAAAGGTACCCCTGCCCGTACGGGCCAGTCTTGACAGACTCTAGGGTTGTGCGCTCATCTCACTCTAGAGGCCGGGAGCCAGCACTGTCCGCAGACACTTCCGGGTCACGTGGCCAGCGTGACGAAGCTGCTCTGGGGAGCCAGAGCCGCACACGGAAATGCCGTTTACCTTCCCGCTAGTAAGCGGTCCCTATTTATCTACTTGCACCCGAGGGTGCTTTCGAACTGCTAGGTTGGCAGGCGCTGGGACCGAGCAACGGGAGCGCACCCCGCCGCGGGGATTTGAACCGCCGACCATACGATCGGCAAGTCCTAGGCGCTGAGGTTTTACCCACAGTGCCACCCGCGTCCCTGTATTGTAAAATACTCAACCCCAATGCTTTTTAAAGTTGGCTTTGCATCCTTTTAGAAGACTGAATTCTATTCTGCCTCCTTTTTCTCATTAGATCAGTGTAAGTTATTTGAGTGTCACCTACGCTAAAACCTCAAGGCATTACTATGAACAAAATAGGAAATAAAGCCCATAAATATGATGGACTTAAAAAGGAACATCAATAACCCAACCCAAAGCTATGTAGGGGGAGCCTCCCTGTCCAAAACAACAACCCCAATAAAGAACAATTGTCAGCTGGAAGATGTGGACTCAAAACCCCTAATAACTGTGCCACTATTAAAACTAATAAAATTGCAACAAATTTACTAAAAATCAGAGGGGAAAAAAAGTATTCTTGTTTCTAGACTGGCTTTGCATAGACATCTGGGTTCAGTGGATAATTTTATCATTTTGGGGCTTTCCCAGATGGTTGCTATTTGCAGGTGAGATTCAATCACCTGCTGGCAAATTAAGGTTGCACAATTAAAGCTGATTGGAAGGTCTTACGCAACAAACCTGCTTCCGCAAAAGACAGACTTTTGGAGAGAAGGAAAGTGATAGAAAAATGCACTGGGACATGGGCGTAGCCAAGGGGTGTAGCCCGTCCCCCCAAATCTTCAAAAAGTATTGAAAAGCATTGAAAATACTCAATTAACTGAGGTTCTGCTCCCCCCACCCAGCAGAAGCCTGACCCCCAAACAAAAGCCAATCTCCCAACAAAAAGCTCAGCTGGCTACACTCATGCACTGGGAGGTGTGGAATAACACTTGCCTTGATGCTACATTGTCTAGCTTCCCTGCATAAGATCAGAATGAATGCTCATTTAATAGCCAACATCATCTAAACTCCCTGCAAACAAATCAGGATTAATGCTCAATGAAAATGTCCCCTGGAAAACACCCAATATCTTTGATGCCTATCCTAGGCCTAACCATTTCTATGTAGCTAGAGTGTTTTTCCTTTTCTTTTCCCTCCAACCTCTCCAGGGCAGTGGGCAGCCCATTGGTCATGGATCCCAACAGCATCTGCCGGAAGACCAAGCGGCTGGCTGGGAAGCAGGCTGAGCTGTGCCAGACGGAGCCTGAGATCATGCAGGAGGTGGCCAAGGGGGCCAGGCTGGGCGTGCGGGAGTGCCAGTACCAATTCCGCTTTCGTCGCTGGAACTGCACCAGCCACAGCAAATATTTCGGCAAGATCCTACAGCAGGGTGAGCTGTTGTTTGGGGAGGCAATTTCTCCCTTTGGGATTTTCCCAGAGACTAGAAGGCAGGTCTAGCTCTACCACTGGGCAAAGTGATGCAGAATCAGCAGAAATGCTTTTCTGTCTGGCCACATCCACACCTTACATCTAAAGCAGTATCCTACTAAGCAGTCATGGCTTCCCCAAAAGAATCCTGGGAAGTGCAGTTTATTAAAAGTGCTGACCACACAAAGCTGTGGTTCCCAGAGCCCTTAACAAACAGCAGTTCCCATAATTCTCTATGATAGTTAAAGTGGAATAGGAGACCTGTTGTGTGTGTGACCTTCTGTCTATGCCTGAATGCTGAAGTGTATCCATGAAGAGAAGCATCCCCCCCCCCTGTGATATGCTGAAAAGTACTGAGGCCTCCAGACAGCAACCATATTTTTCAGTCAGCCTGCAAAAACTTCACACATCACCAGCTCCAACTTTGTGTGTACACAGAAAATATGTCAAGGTGTGAAGTAGTCTGCATTCTGTTGCCACATGCATTTCATAATTTGCATGAAACGTACATGTCCCTGCAGCTGTTGCATGTGATGATACACACAAGGGTTTCAAATCATTTCCAGCACTGAAGTGCTTTCCATGTTGAAAAATATTGGGAAGAAACCTTTATATGTTACAATCCCTACAACTAATTTCATTTATATCATTTATAAGGGAAGAAGGGTTATCCATTTTTCTGAAGGGCTGCAACATGGTTGACTAATTGATTGAAACCTTTTTGATCAATTAAAAATGTTCCTCCAGGCAGCAGATATTTAAAAACAAATTGTAATTATTTTAATTGCTAGGTACTTACAAAAACCACAGTAGCAGGCTCTTCTCAAAAGCAGCTCCCCTTTTCTCATCCAAAGGAAGAAATGGCTCTTTTAAGATGCCTGTTGTGACATGTGCATAGATCACTGAAAGGCAAAGGAAATATGCATTTTATGTATAGCTACCGATTTATTCATATGCAAATGCACACAAATTTAAGTGATCGATTTACTAAGATTTCTTTAATCTGGGGACAGTCCTCAAAATGAAACTGGGTGCTGCCTTTCATTGCTTTGTGCATGAAATCAAGGCCAATCATGGAAAAAACAACACTTTCCCTGTCCAAATATTTTCTGCACTGTGGCTGGATGCAATAGCCAGTGTGGTACGGGAATTAGATGTTGGACTAGGACCTTTCTGGGAGCAGAAGGATCTGATACATTTTCCTAGGTGGGGGGGGGGTTGCTTTGTGTCTCCCCCTCCCCTCGCTCCCACAGAAGGCACAGGACAACACCACATTAGAGTATGTGAGGCAAGGGAATTGCTGGGTCCTCAGGGCGGCACAGGTTATTGCTACAGGCCGAAGGTTTACTGCTATGACATGTCTCACTGTCCTTGTAATGAAGCAATTATGGGTGCTCCCAGACAATACAGCAGCTTTTAATAAAGCCCAAGAATGTATCCGTGTCTGGGAGTGATTTACTGCCCCCCCATTCCGCCCCCCCTCCCATTAGACTGTGCTCCTACATGTCCTTATAGCTTCCTCCAGGCTTCCCAGCAACCTGACAGAATAGGGGCCTGGGCAATAAATAACACACACCCCAGGAAGCCCCCTTGCCACAATACTGGATGGTGTCTTTTTCCCCAACCCTGCCCCAAATGTAAGAGGACAGGCAGGTCAAAAGGACAGGGCAGGATCCTGGTGCACTGCCCTAGGGCCAGCAACAGGCACACTATGGGCACGACTAATGTAGTCAGGTTCATAAAAAGGGTTCGTAAAAATAAGAGCCACCTTTTTGAGGAAAATTTCATGTGACGTTTTGAACACCAACTTGGGAGGTCATTGTTATAAATTTCTATCTACTGGAATACAAAACAAGTGGCTCTACACATCCCACTCCCAATACCTGCAAAAGTTTCAGGGTGGACATACTGCTCATATCCCATAACTTCCTACTGAAATCCTATAACTTTAAACCACAAAGTTACTCATGCTGTTGTTTTTCTTGATTTTGTTGTGCCCTTTCAGATGGCAATAATACAGTAATACTGGGGAAGCATTGCAATGTAACTAACAAAGCAGAATGGTACAGGGATGGTCCAATATAAACCCACCACCAATGCACTATTATTGTATTAATAACATGTTGCAAAACGCATCCCCCCAAAACCCCCACCACCCTCACCAATCTATAGGGGCTTGTACACAGTGGCTAACATTTCTATTGAGAGCACATGCAGACGATGGCAATATTTCCCTTAGATATTTGATCTTCAGAGCCCTTTCCAGCCAGAGCAGAAGCCCATCAGGCTTCTAACCTAACTTCCAAAGTACTGTACGAAAGTAAAGGAATGGAAGGCTCTTTCCCTTGTCGGTCATTTCACTCCCTAATTAGCGAGCTGCGGCATTGTGTTTCCACCCGCAGTTCTCCCTTGGACATTTATATGTCTTAAGGCGACGATTAGAGTCCAAGGGACTAAGCAAGTGAACCTTGGTGGCGGCGGAGCATGGATAGAAACTGGATCGGGGGTGGTGTTGCTTGTGCAACGCAGGAAGGTATGCGCGAAGATGCTGCGGGCAAAATGCATGGGAGCTTGTTGCTGCCGAGCCGGGTAGCCGGCCGGCCACGTAAAGGAATGCCCTCCTGCAACGCAGAGAAGCCCTCCCGTTTTCATCCCGTCCTCCCTCCGTGTCCTTCGCTCCTGGTATCTCAGCGCGGCGGGCGGCTCCGGGTTTGTAACAAGCCGGGCGACTGCTGGCAAAGTGAGAGGAGGGCGGGCGGGCGGACGGGAGAGACTGAGCCCCCGGCGGGTGCGGCGCCTGGTGCCGGAGCAAGCAAAAGGAGAATCCCCTTTGGCTGTGGCAGGTCCCGGCATGGCGAGGGATGCCTGGAACTCGTGTCCCGCGGCGGAGGGGCGACTGGCGCCCCGCTGTCAATAAGAATCCAGGTTATTGGGGTGGAGGAGGAGGAGAGCGGGGGGCATTCCAACCTGGCCTTGCCCTCCTGGTTGCCGGGCTCGGGCAGCAAAGCAATTCCTTCTTGGAGTAGATTGATTTTTCCACCCGCCGCGTTTTCCGACGGGCTGCTGAGCAAGAAGAGCTCAACCGGGGCCGTGCAATTCTCCTCCGTAGCTGCCGCGCATTTTTCGCTGAGATTTGCGCGGGATAATCTCCCGCCGGACTGTGCCGGGTGAGGCAACTATGACCGCCTCCCGCTCTGCCGCCCTTTGCATGGCACCCCAAGCTGCTGCCTCGCTCGGGTTAAAAACAAACGAACAAAAACAGCCCGTGGTCGCCACTCGAGCAGCAGCCTCTTGTCCAGTCAGCCAGCCCTCGTGTCACCTCGGCGGGGAAAGCTGCAGTACTTCCTTCCTGTATAGTCCAGTCCCACGCAGCCGTAGGCAGACATTTAAAGCACATCGCTCCAAAGAATCCTGGGGACTGTAGTTTACCTTTTACGGAGCTACAGTTCCTAAAACCCTTAATAAATTAAAATTCCCAGTATTTTTTGGGGGGTGGGGAAGTGCGTTCACTAGTTTTAAAATGTCACCAGCGAGCCTACTGATTACAGTGGGCCTTACTCCCAGCATAAGGCTGCAACGTTAGACTTATACAGATAGCTGGAGTTTGAAATTAATATTGGAGGCCGAGATAGGCCTCTTTGGGTGATAGCTGACTGGAGGCAGGGCCAAGAGGTTCTTAAGCCTGGCAACTTAGTTCTACTAAGGAGCAGAGTTTACTTCCTCTCACCCTACTTTTAAAATGTGTTTAACAACGGGGAGGCAGAAACTGAACAGGTGCACCCACCCCACCTGGAACTGCAGTGGGGGGAATCTTCACTGGTTGGGTTTCTGCTTGTTATGGTTTTTTAAAGGCCGTGCTTTTTGCCAGACTTACCCCTGGCAGGCCCATGAACTAGTGGCTTGTTTGTTTGTTTAAACCTGACTCCATTTGATGTTCTCCATTTCTTTCTTCCCCTGCTCTGTCCTCTCACTCTCTTACACAGATATCCGGGAGACAGCCTTTGTCTATGCCATCACAGCGGCTGGCGTGAGCCATGCCGTCACCCAGGCCTGCAGCATGGGCGAGTTGCTGCCATGCGGTTGTGAGGCGACTCGGAGCCGGTCCCCTCCTCTGCCCCCCGCCATCACAGGGTCAGAGGGCTCTGCTTGGGAGTGGGGCGGCTGCGGGGATGACGTTGACTTTGGCTATGAGAAATCCCGCCAGTTCATGGACGCTAAGCGCAAGCGTGGCAAGAGCGACATTCGAACTCTCATTGACCTGCACAACAACGAAGCGGGACGCCTGGTAAGGGCAGCCTCCCCTCACTACTTGGGTATCTGGAATCCTCTCTCCACAGGCAACCCTGCCTTCTTCCTTGGTGGGTGGAGAGAACTGGGACTGCCCCATTACTTGCCAGAACATGGCCTGCTTAGGCTTAACTTGGCTGCCCGTCACATCCTCACTTCCACTCCTGTGACGCAGCCCTGCCTTGTGTCCAGACCTATTTCTATGGTCAAGGTCATCACCCCAACTGCTCTCACACAGCTTGAGCCCTCATCCGGTTCTAGGGCTAAGGATTGCTGTCATGCATGTGCATTTGGCCATGCTCTGTTCCATGCAGTAATGGGGCAGAGTATCCTGTGGCTACAGCAGCATGCTGTAGTCCCTTTTGCTTGCAGACACTGTCACTACTGCTGCCATGTTATCTGCTAATACTGTACAGGCACATCTATATGTGCACATAAAGCTGGAGGTAGGGGCTTTAGGACCAACAAGTAGACAAAATCAGTGTAGGTTTTTCTGTTGGGCATATTTTCTTGGGGTAATCTGTTGGTGAGTGAGGGGAAAGCCAGCAGTGGCCCAGAGCCAAAAGTGGAAGGGTCCACCTCTTTTCTCCCCATTCTTTCTGACCCCCTCCCCCCTCCCTCTCTCTCTCACACACACACCCTCAATTTCCTCTTCCTCTCTTCCTCTGCCCCCTTCCCCACTGCCCTGCAGGCTGCCAGAAATTAGGTAGATTGCTCATTCCAGAGGGCTGAATTCAGCGCTTGCAGAGGGATTAAAAAATTTGGCCAAAGGCCACATAAAATTAGATCAAGGGCTGCAGCCGGTGGCAATATAGGGCACAAGTGCCACTGCCAGGTATTTGGCCATCCCTGCCTCACTGGGCCTCATTTCCATGGTACAGCAAGCCAGAGTTCCTGCCCCAACACTATGCCAAATATTAATTCATTTGAAATATGTGTAGAACAATTTGGACACTTTTTACTATTGGGAGTTGGAGGAACACTTCCGTGCCAGAGAATCCGTACACAGCTATACCATAAAATCCCACACATCAGAGTAACAACTGATTAACAAAAGTATTTATACCCACCTCAAATTCATATCTAAAAATCATCCTTTAGCTGATCAGGCCTGCTTTAAGCTGTTGTCCCTTAACTTTAGCTGGCCATCATTTTTAACGGTGCAAAAATGCTACTAGAGTTGGATGAAGTGTTTATTCCCAACTCTCCATCCCAAGCATGCACTCTCTCTCTTACCCACCCACATCAAACTCTTTGTATTTTCCCTCCCTTTCTGCAAGCTTGCTTCTAACTTCATGATTCAACCCTGTATGCCCTATAACCAAAGCATGTTCCCTTGATAGGCTAGACACCTCTTTCAACCTGCCTTCATTGCCTGCCACCTGAATTTCCCTCTGTAATCTTTAGGTATCCTCTTCCTCCTCCTGCCTCTGCCTGTCTTTTCCATCCCCTCAATCAGTCCTGGGGCTCATCCTGGATTACCACCAAAAACATACTGGTTGGCAGAACAAGAAGATTTCATGATCCCCATCAGAACCATCAATTTATCAATGGATAATAATACAAAAGGCCAGAGGGGACAGTTAGACAGTTTATGAACAGGTATGCAAAGCAGACAGATCTATGCACTTACATGCATAGAGAGCTCATGTGATGTAGTACTGAAATGTGGGAGGTGCTTGAGCCTGGATCAAATCCAGTAGCAACAAGTTCTGTAGGGGTAGATTTAGGCAACTGGCAATTTCAACCCACCACCCTCAATATGAGGATAATAATACTGGCCTACACTGCAGGGTTGTTTTAGAATTCTTGATATAGCATATGTAAAGTGTTCCAAACATTCCAGGACTGTATCACATAAATGCTAAATATTACTGTTGTATTACATGCTCTCACATGTAGAAGAGGGTAACCCAGTCAGAGTCTTTTGGTCCATATTCAGAATATGGGAAGGAGGTGGGGACAGGGAACCTAGTTCTCCTGAGATATTATCTCCTTCATAATCTGGCTTCTAAAGCATGGTGCTGTTGACATCACCTCCCTCCTCTTTTGTGAATGTAAGGCACTGATAGGCAATGTCATTCTCTGGGTCTGAGGGCCAGAACACAGTAATCTGACTGTGGATGACATGCATTTTCATTTTCTCTTTTAGGCTCAAAATGAGCTATCTTCCACCCCACCTTCTCTTGTAGTTGAAAGCAGCCTTTACCAACCTAGTGCCCTCCAGTTGTCTTGGGCTACAGCTCCCATCAGCCCCAGGCAGCATAGGCTGATGGGAGTTGTAGTTCAACTGTGGTGAGCTGATGTTGATTTTGCCACTTTCACCATTGCAGTGTGTTCTTGGAGGTATGAATTATTTTCTCCAATGGCTGTTTCTTTTCCTCCTTCCAGGCAGTGAAGAACCACATGCGGACAGAGTGCAAGTGTCATGGACTTTCGGGTTCCTGTGCATTACGCACCTGCTGGAAGAAGATGCCCCCTTTCCGGGAGGTGGGAGACCGCCTCCTTGAACGCTTTAATGGGGCCTTTAAAGTGATGGGTGGCAACGATGGCAAGACACTCATCCCTGTGGGACGGAATATCAAGCCCCCGGACCGGCAGGACCTCATCTACTCTGCCGACTCACCTGACTTCTGCGTGGCTAACCGCAAGACGGGTTCGCTGGGCACGCGTGGACGAGTGTGCAACAGCACCGCCATGGACATGAGTGGCTGCGATCTGCTATGTTGTGGGCGCGGCCACCACGACGAAACACTTCTCTTGGAAGAGAACTGCCTTTGCCGCTTCCATTGGTGCTGTGTGGTGCAGTGCCGGAAGTGCACGGTACGCAAGGAGCACAGCTTATGCATTTGAGTGGGTACAGAAAGGACACTGGGCAGGGATGGCCCAGAGCATGAGGGCAAGGATGATGCCCAACTTGCCACAGAATCCAAAGACAGGGAGCATAATCAAGCCTGCTATGGGTTTGAGGGAACATGGATCATTCTGGACTGCCTTGGAGCCCCAGAGCATGGAAATGGATTTTTTCTGAAACGTTGGTTCCCTGCCGTTTCCAGCACTTGTTGGTTATAACCTCCTCTGTGGCAGGCCCTGCGCCTCCATTACTCATTGACTGGACATACACTCCTGAAGATGGGAGACTGGTGTCACCTGACATTCTCCCATCATCATCCTCAGCATCTTGGTCCTATGTGGGTCTCTGACTATAGGCCATGCACAGTTTCCCTGGAGGGAAGTGTTGTGCCTCATTTATTAATGGATCTTTCCTATGTTTGAGAGAACAGCAGAGGTTTCCTTGAGCTTGACTGCTCACTCCTGTGGCTTCCTTGCCCCCCTTCAGCTGGGGCTGCTGTTTCTCTCTGCATTAATAAAGCTATTTAAACTAACAGTGTCTTAATCCATTGTTGCAAAAGGAAGTGTTCACAAGTGCACTTAATACAGATGAGTAATTTAACTAGAAGTTTAAACTATTTTCTTGTTCATCCCATAGGCATCTGGTTGCTCCACTGTAAGAATAGGATGTTGGGCTGGTTGGGCCTTTGGTCTGAACTAGCAACAGGGTTTTATTATGTTCTTATCTAATCAGAGCATTTAGAGTGGTATGAAGATGACTTTGCCTAACATTAATGCATTGCTGTTAAGTGACCTTGGGAGCAGGTCCAAGAGTGTTGAGAGATTATGTCTCTTGCAGGTCAAGAGCTCCTGTGGAGTTAGAGATGCTGGGGTTGAATGGTGATGTATTTGATGTCGAGACCGCTCAGTTAGGATTTGGACTGATTTGGTATGAAAGGCATGTCCTGTATGTTTTGTAGCTTTGCAACATTGTTCCTTATTTACACTGTCAAAGTCACTTGTGGAAAACCTCTAGCACTTCACTTGTGCAGACGAATAAGTGAGGCTCCCAGCAGGTAAGTGACATGTGCAGGTAGGTCACACACATTCATCAAGGAGTCTTCATACACAAGAATTCATCAGCCTTTTTTTAGGTGTGTCAATTTGGGGGAGGTCTATTAATAATAATAATTATAATTATAATTATAATAAT